TTGGGATATTTCTTATTTAATATCTAAACTTATTGGGTTTTCACTCATTTTATCATATTTTTAATTTCTAAGAGTTCTTTGAGTGTTCCTCTTTATAGTATACTATTATTGTTTTATTGTTGCAATATCATATCTCTATGAGAATCTTAACTCTATGAGAATTACTATGGTAACTTGTACTATGGTATAATATGCACAAAAGTAGAGGAAAAGGTTAATGAACTCTCGTGTACTATGTGGATTTTTGGAAGCTGTTCTTTTCCTGAGTCTAAACCCCACCCACATCTCTGGTAGACCCCTGAAATATGTACATGTGAGGTAAAGTCCAAGCAGAATAAAACCTCACAAATTGTAGTTCCAGCACAGGGAAGGTGTCCTGAGTTATAGAGAAAATGTAACTACTCAGGAAATTTAGTCATTTGTTTTATTTTCTTCAGACTAAATGTCCTTAAATATTTATATTTTTAGAAAAATCTGAGAAATGTTTTAAAATTAAAAAATCAGATTTATTTTTTTAAGTAAATGGAATTACAAATTACTTTTTACTTTTAAGTTTTGCAATAAAAGTAGCACTTTTTAAACTATTCACCTCTACCACACTGAGAACCAGCATTTGGGGAATTATTTGTATTAATTTTTTGACTATAAAATATATTCTATTTCTGTAAATGTAAAATCAGGCCTTCTCAACCTAAGGATAAAGAGCCACAGGGCTAAAGAATGAATATCTTGAAACAGTATTTAAAACATCTTTATAAGTAGAAAAATGACATGAAAAGTAAGGCTGAATTAAACAGAGGAAGTCTGGGTTTACCAAAGTGAACTCTCTTGAAAGAACATGGTGAGGTTGGTGAAGTATCTATCACTTTAAATGGGGGAGAGTGTGGGAGTAGGGCTATGTTTTAAAAGAAATCCTACCCTACCATCTGCCTAGAATAGCTTGGACGTTCTCTTACCTTAGGAAATAATAGGAGGGCAGACGAAATGCTTCCTCCAAAGCCATCTACTGATTGTTTGGGCACCATGGGATTAAAATATTAAAAGGATTAATCATTCCCTAATAGGACAAAGTATCAAATGCACTGAATACCAGTCCTCTTAGAATTAAATAAACAAATAAGTAAAAAAACAGAAATAAATCTTTACAATCCCAATAGCTATCCAAATGAGAAACTAGCTCCTAAATTTCAAGAAATAAAAATTCTCATTATCTGTAATCCAGAATGAACTCTTAAGTACATAGTTGTCTACCAATATCCATAGAATCAGATTTCAGAACACCAGTAAATTACACTTTCACAAAAAGATAGGAAATAATGCTTAGCAGCTGACACCTCTATAAATTCGAGTAAGAACATTTCATGCCACAAGGCTCCAAAATGTGAGTTAACAAACAACATGGTTTAAACCCCTCAATTCAATTCTGCCAACTGCATGTAAGGAGCTAAAAAGCACTGAAGGTTTTAAGGTAAAATGTTCCTACTTTCAAAAGCATAATAATCTAGCAGCAGGATATGAAAAGTAAACAAATAACATACAACTGGAATATGGTAAGTGTAGTATAAGAAGTTGGAAGAATTTCTGTGTAAGTTTAAATGAAGGGGTATGTGTGTCTGTTTCTTCTATCAGGCCCTGCTATACTCCTCTTTGCATACCCCATGTGTAATCGAGACACGTGAAAAACACATCACTTGAAATGGCCTAAGAGTTAATAGAACTTAACACTAAAAAAAATTTTTTAACCCGGTAACAATATGCATGTAGTTTTCAAAAGTCATAGTACCACAGGGTTCACAATGAAAAATAGTAGCCCTGTTTTCCCTCCTCAGATACCTGTCTCCCAGAAACCCCTTTTTTTTTTGCTATCACCTCCATATTGCTTACACAGAAACATGCCAATTCCACTATTCTGGATCATCCCATTTAAAATGGACTCGTTGACTTCTTCCTGAGGAAGACAAGGATGAGGCTGTTTCACTCCTTTGTCCTCGGCCCCCCTCCTCCTCTTCCTTCGTACACAGTTAATTCCTTCTCAGTGCCAACTCTGTCCTTTGCAATTATGCTTACTCGTGTGTGTTCTATTTCTTTTCTTATGTGTCTTCCATCGGGCCCTGCTATAGTCATCTTTGCATACCCAATGTGTAAATCAGTGTCTGTTCCTTCGTGGGAACTCGAGTTTGATGAACTGAATTGAAAGTAATCTGCCAGCGTAAACCTTTATGAGATGCCATCTGTAGTCAGACATCAAAACCATGGGCACTGTTAACTGACACCACCAGGGTTAGTGTGACAAGAATAACTCAGAAACGCAGAAACTACTTGCCAACAAATAGATTTGCAGACAAGAACAGATACTGTCCAATTTAACATGCGAGAATTTCTCCCAGTATTCAATTCCCAGAAATTTTGCTTTGAGCCATTGTCCTGAAATAAGCTGTTCAGGCCTCTTCCTCAACATACTAACATATAATATTTATAGCTACACCCTAGATTCATAGAAAGGTTTTTAAAAAATCTCCAACTCATCCCAGCCGGTTTGGCTCAGTGGATAGAGCATCAGCCTGCAGACAGACCACATGTTAGGACACAAAGCAACTGGAACATTTTCTAGGATAGACCATGCACATGGAAAAACTGGACTAGATCACCAACTTACACCATATACAAGAATAAACTCAAAACGGATAAAAGACTTAAATGTAAATCGAAAAAACCCCACAAAAATCCTAGAAGGAAACATAGGCAGTAAAATCTCAGTCATCTCTCAGAACAATATTTCTGCCAATATGTCTTCTAGGGTGAGGGAAACAAAGGAAAAAATAAACAAATGGGACTACATCAAACTAAAAAGCTACTGCACAGCAAATGAAACCATCCACAAAATGAAAAGGGAACCCACTGTATGGGAGAACATATTCTCGCCAATGACACATTTGATAAGAGGTTAATCTCCAAAACAAATAAAGAATTTGCACAACTCAACACCAGGAAGACAAACAATCCAGTTTTTAAAATGGGCAAAGAACCTGAATAGTCACGTTTCCAAAGAGGACATACAGATGGTCAATAGACATATGGAAAAATGTTCCAAGTCACTAATCATCAAAGAGATGCAAATTAAAACCACAATGAGATACTACCTCATAACTGCCAGAATGGCTACCACCAATGAAAGAATGTGAACAGATTAGCAAAAGAACATATATGCATAACCCTGGACGCAGACTACAGTGTGGTGGTAGCCAGAGGGAAGGGGGAGTGG